CATCATCATCATCATCATCATCAAGTGCCAAATCTGCGACAGACATCAGCGATCATGATTCTCCATTCATTCATTTGCTCGGATGCTCTTAACAAAGCTACGTCACCGGTACCCTGATGGCTGATCTTTCCCATCTGTTTAGGTTCCCTAAGTAGGTTTCTACCTATGCCTACTCCTGCCTCGTTTAAAATGCTCTTTAAAATGCTCATCAGCTGGAGATAATAATAATAATATATATTAGTTCGTCGATTAATATCAGGTGATGACAAATAAGATAAGATAAGATCATACTTTATTGTCCCAGAGGAAGCTTTTCTTGGCTGTACAGGACCGTAAAAACACATACAGGCATTCATAAAAAGTTAAATTACATATTACACTCATTAAAACTCAATATGAAAAGAAAAGTAAATCAGACAAATTGTATATATCACATCAGATGCTTCATTCAACCACATGCAAGAATTTAATAGTCCACAGAGGAGAATATAATTATTTCTCTAGCGACAAAAGAATTAGAAAAACTAAAAGTTGAGTTGACGTGTAGCTTCTGCTGCGGCTGATGAGACCAACTCTGACAGAGAAAGGTTTATCACATTTTGGAACATTTAAAAACTCCACTTTCACTTGTGGGTGTGCGTTGTTGTTGTTATCGACCCAGCAACAGCTGGGCTCTCGCCCTTCTGTCCAATGCCATGTAGTGATAAGTGCAGGTTTGTTGCAGTTGCTGTAATGTTCCTTTGAGTGTGTTGTTACTGTTAGGTCTCGGAGGGAGAAGGGTAGCTCTGGTGTCATTTTGGGATGTGCAGTGGAACAGGTGATGATCCACAGTCGCATATGTAAAGTCACACAAAGGACACATTGGGGGAAGTTCCGAGTTTATTCTGTTCAAGTGGAAGTTGAGCTGTATATGTTCTGTTCGTAGGCGGAAGATCGTGGTCTGCTTCTTTCTATGTAGGTGGTTGATATTGTCATTCCGTTTTGTTGTGGTCATAATATGTTTGAAAACTGTTCAGTAGGTTGTTCTGGGCCTTCCCTGAATCATTTAAGATGCTCATCAGCAGGAGGTAGTGATAATAATTATATCAGTTCATCTATTAATATTAGGGGATGATCAATACATCGGTAAAGGAGAAAATTTATCAAGCCACATTGAAGAATTAGAAGAACTGAAGGTTGAATTGACTTGTGGCTTCTGCTGTGGCCGATGAGACCAATTCTGACAAAGTTTGTCACATTTTGAGCATTGAGAAACTCCACATTCACTTGTGGATGTGAGCAGCTTGCGGGCTTCTCTCTTGGTTCAGCATTTCTTATTGGTGAAGCCTCATATGGTTTGCTGCCCAATGTGACTGCTGCTCTCCAGCTGGGTCGGTCACGAGCTAGGCTCTCCCATGTCGAAGGATTTATGTTGAAGTCCTTCAAAGACGTTTCAGTGGGTGGTTAGCAGGTGCTCTGGTGCGGTTTGCTCCTTCTTTCCTATCAAACATCTATCATCCTTATCTCCCTCCCTTCTTTATTGTGCTTGTTACTCTCTTGTAGCACCTCTAATCTTCGGCACTTATATGACCTTATTGTATTGCAAGTGCCGTAAAACACGTATTAAAACAAACCCAAGAA